ACCAGCCATCTGCATGTACTGCTACTCGCTGAAAGGACAGGACTCTTTGATTTAACAGTAACAAACCTTCAACCAGTCAACATCCTGCATCCTTTTGTGTAGCTCTTACTCATCCTCTTCCACCGCCTATTCTCCTCCTAGGTTCCTTGTGGGTAATAAGAGTGACCTCCGTGACCACCACAGGACTGATGGCCAGGTGAGCCAGGAGCGGGCGTTGAGCTTCGCCAAAGCTCATGGCATGATGTTCTTTGAGACGTCCGCCAAGAACCCGCCAAGCAAATGTGCGAGCGGTCGACGAGTAGACGGGGAGGTGCCGTATCAGCAGGATAAGGTGGAGGACATTGTCGTTGCTGTTGGTGCCAAACTGAAGAGGCAGAAGAAACCTTCAGCAGCAACCGCCCCGGCGTACAGCGGGTCCTTTAGAGTCCTGAACAAGAAAGTACCAGAGAAAGAGATGTGGACCTGCTGCTGAGACAGAGAGAGGGAACTGTTGGCCCTTTTAGATGGAAGAATGTGACTTTGGAGCTCTTTCTGATCGAGTGTGTGAGGATGTATGTGTTTGAGTGTTTGTGCGAGTAAGAGCACCATATTGAGCACAATGTTCATTTCTGACCAAAGAGTGCAAAACTATTACATTTGAAATACAGTTGCTGTTACACACACACAGAACTTTAATATTTATGCTCTTAATCATGTGAGATATTCTATTTGGAAATGTTGTGTATATTTTTGATTTTATTGTTTACAATAGCTGCAAAATAAAAGACTGTGAATGTAAGCATTATTTGGTGGAGGCTTTGATCCAAGTGACCTTTTAGTGCAATGACAGCATGTGTGGTCTCACTGGGAACATAAATGTGGCTGTGCTCATCGTGTGCAGCATGAATCACCTGATGGGGTTTTTGTCACAGCATCTAAACACTGTCGGATCACATGAGGGTTAAAAATAATATGCATTAGCTCTATAACCATTAAAGGACCAGTTTGTAGGATTTATTGGCATATAGCAGGGAAGCTTCAGCATTAAACTAACTGAACACTGCTTGCGTCTGTATTTGACAGACTGTAAATGAGGGCTCTGAAGTGTGTAGGAGAATCTACAGCAAAACTCACAAAAAAAAAAAACCGAAGGCCCTATCTGTGGTCAGTGTTTTTTTCCTTCTGTGCTACTGTAGAAACATGGCGGTTCAATATGGCAGCCTTCGTGGAAGAGGACCTGCTTCCTCTGGTAGATAAAAACATTTCATATTAAGGCTAACCCAAAAACACAACAACTCTTATATCAGGTGATTATACACTAATGGTAATTATGTTTCCCACTAGACCTTTTAGATCTGTTTATAATTACATTGAAAGAAAAATCTGTTTCCCAGTCACCACTTGGATGTTGAAAACTGGAAATTACACTAACTCCAGTATAATATAAATGTGGCAAGCGTGTACAGTGTAGAGGTTTACATGATTTGTAGTGGACCGCAGTTTGACCTGCATTATATTTTATATTATATTACATAATTCCAAATTGAAATGGCAGAACAGCTTTATCTTATGTAACGTGACGCATTTCTGATTAAAACTGAATTTGCAAACAGGAAACGTGCGCATTTGGAAATTTAAAAGTTCTTGCCAAGTAACATTCAAACACACACCTTAAACCCATGATATTGCTCCACTAGCATGTGACTTTGCCAATGGCCCGGTGCATTGTTAGCTAGACGCATTAATTTGACTGGATAAATGTATGTACAGGTCCCTGAGTCATCAGATGTAGCTCAGCACAATGCTGGAAGAGAAAAGAAGCATTTAATACTAAAACAAACATATATATATGATAAACTTAGAGATAGAACAGTTAATGTAGTGACACAGGGTGACATTTTTAAAAATATATTCTTTATCCTGCCGTGTCTTTTATGTACAGATGAAAACAAATCATGGCTGTAAATAGCTTTTTAAATTACTACAACTACCTCGCTCACTTTCAAAAACATCTGCCTGTCCTGACTCACTGTACGTTGCTCTGTATGTAAGTCACTTTAATACAGTGGTGTTACAGGACAATCTCATCCTGGCTGTTAAGGGCTTCCCACCACAGGACTGTGTCCAGATGGATAAATCACAGCAGTCATGCACCGGTCTTGTGCATGAGCAGTGTGGGCGCTGGAAAGTGCATCACATGTGTTGCAACTGTGCATCCAATCGATGATTCAGAGGTCATCACATGCTTCTGCTCAATGGTCTGGACAACTGTAAGATCCTGAAACACACCAGAGGTAGAGGCAGCTCTGTTTGTGTGTGTGTGTGTCGTGGTGTTGTTGTGTTCAGTCGGTGTTGTGGCGAGTGTGTGGCTGTGTG